ATTATTAAATATATTTCCTAACATATTATAAATCTAATATAAATTATTTATAAATAAATAATTACTAAAAGCATTATTAAATATACTAAGTAATGCATTAAATATATTAATAATATATTATAAATAAAAAATTATGAAGATAATTATAATATTAGTACATTTTATAATTTTATAAATAATTTATTAAATGACTAAAAATATTAAACATGGGTTAGGGTACATTAAATACATTATACACATTAAATATATTTTCTAATAAATTTGTAATATCATATCATAAAATGCTATAATTGTATAAATAATTTATTAATTTACATTATTAGAAATGCATTAAATGTATTTCATAACATATTTATAATTTTATAAATACGTGTTATGTTATAATGTAATAATAATATTATTCAATTTTATAATGCTATTTTTTGTCCTCAGCCAAACCGATTCGCCCAGGACATTACCCCGCCTTCTTATCAGCCAATCACATGTTCACGCGCAGCAGGGATCAGCCAATCACCTTCAGCAATGAGATGTTCAACAGCGCCACTGAAAAACCCAAAACCACGAAAACAGAGTCCAGTTTCACCAACAAGTGAGTATGAATGTTTCTGGCTCATGTTTGACTGAATTGTGTGTGTGATGTGTGTTTGTTGGTCATGTTAACAGAACGCTGCCAGAGAACGAGAGACACATGAACGCCACACACAAACTCAACATCACCAACGGTAAACACACTTCTCTGACAACAACTCTTTACTTTTATTACCTGAATAAAATGTTATCGCTCAGAAGATGCTCTTTCCAGTTTATGGGTCCAATCGGTGAAAAAAATGGCTGCATGGGACCTGATTGGAACATCCACAGATGCTATAATGTGTCTGTTTTCCAAATAAAAAGATACATTTAGAATTTCACAGCGCAGTAAATGTAAATGAACTCAAATAGATCACAGCATCTTTAATACAGGCATTTTAACACATATTCATTCTTATTTGACCAGGAAATGCCACAGATGTGAATGAAAACAGGTGAGCATGAGCGTGTGACTGTAAAGCGCTGTTTACCGTTTACTGTAATTAATAAGTTCATACTCTAATGATGTTTTCTGATGTAGTGTGTGTCACGATGAGCTGTCTGACGATCTCCAGCACAAACACAAGCTTCACGAGCAGCGTGCCGCCAGCTAAACACACACACATACACACACACACACACACACACACACACACTCACGTGACTGTAACTGTTTACCGTTTACTGTAATTAATAAGTTCATACTCTAATGATGTTTTCTGATGTAGTGTGTGTCACGATGAGCTGTCTGACGATCTCCAGCACAAACACAAGCTTCACGAGCAGCGTGCCGCCAGCTAGCTAAAC